ATGACTAATACTTGGTTATACACGTAGTCCCACATTCTGCTTCCCCATCCAGCAGCTGATTCCTCAATTTGAGTGTTGCTGCTATGAACATGGATGTGCAAATTTCTCTTGGGTCACCGCCTTCAATTTGGGGAGTAGGTGTTTACCCAGAATTGGAATGATAGCTCACCCAGTTTTGTTTATTTGTTTATTTGAAAGGCAGATTTACAGAAAGAAGGAGAGAAAGATCTCCCATCTACTGGCTCCCTCCTCAAATGGCTGCAATGGCCAGAGCTGAACCAATCTGAAGTCAGGAGCCTCTTCTGAGTCTCCCATGTGGGTGCAAGATCCCAAGGAGTTGGGCCAACCTCCACCGGCTTTCCCAGGCCATAAGCAGGGAACTGGAACTGAAGTAGAGCAGCTGGGGCATGATCCAGTACCCATATGGGATGCTGACACTTGCAGGCAGGATTAGCCAGTTAAGCCATCTCGCTGGTCCCTTGGGATCAGTTTTTTAATAGCTCCTTATGAATTAGTTAACTGACTTAGAAAATTGTTTCATGAAAGTTATCAAATACACTGGTACTTGAAAAGTTTGTGGGAAAACAATGAAAAATTTGATTTGGGGGTCAAAAAAAGTTTTGAATTACATGCATAGTTTTTTTTCACAATATGTATTTTACATGAGCTTTTTGAAGGCTGTGCTCTTGGATGGATTTAAAAATGTATTGCAACACAATAGACTTATCTGTTAATCCCATTTTCCATGAATCTTTCCAAGCATGCCTGTAAACAAAACCATAACAACAAAGGCCTAACAGTTCAACAAGGTACATTTCATGGAACTGCCATGTCACACCTCATAAAATTATTAGTAATTCAGTCTATCATCAAATGTGAAATTGATCATTAAAATCCCCCAAATGTCTCCAGAATGTTTGGAATACCGTTCGCCCCCCTGCTGAACAGGTTGGAGTTGTTTCGATTCTTTGTGTTGGGGGTGAGGTTTCCAGGGTCTTGAGGCTCTTTAGGAGATGTAGAGTGAGGGTCCAGCACAGCCTTTCCCTCAGCTGCAGACACCCCCAGCACAGAGCACAGTGGACTCGCCACACAAGTCGTACCCAATCTCGGCCCCACAGGCATTTGGATGGAATTTCCTTTCCAGGAAATTCCCAGAGATAAGGCAGCCTCTCTTCCAGCTGCCCAGAGCTGTTAACACAGAACCTTATCTAACCCTTGCCCTGTGCCAGATCCACCTACTGGGCTGACATGTGAGAAGATGGTTCAGATGCCAGCGGGCAGAAGAGCAATGACACAGAAAGGAGATTGCTCTTAATGAACATTCTCAGAATGAAAAGACACTGGTGTTAAGATTGAGGTCAGTGTGGACCAACAAATAAGCCATTCAAGTAGAGCCACAGTTACAGCCTGAAGTGGGGTCCTTCTGAGAATGGTGGAGCAGTTACAACAGAGTCAGTTCAGGCAGAAGCTTTATCGTATATTTGATGACCTATAACATGAGTCTGTAATGTCTTTCTCTTCCTACCTTGATAGCCACAGTTCATCTGGAATCTACTTTCAGTGTACCTGGACGACTTCTAGTATATTTTAAGTTGTTTTTGATTTAACTCAGTGAGGCAGCAGTGTTTAAAATCGCCATACACCATAGGAAACTGAAGTCAATGAGATGAAACCCTACCCCGTGAACTGAGGTACAAAGCAATGCCAAGAATGTAAATGAACGTAAGGAAAACATTAGATATTCTAGCTAGAGCATAATATTTAGGGCAGATGATTAGATTTTCTAGTCCTCAAATGTTTGAACTCCATACATTCTAGTGTGCTGTTTCAATTTTCAGTAGCAAATGTGTATCTAGAGGAATTTATTAAAACATCTGTTTGAGTTGCTTTTTAAAAGAAGGTGGTACGATGCAGGAGGCCGCCACCTGCCATGCCAACGTCCCACAGAGGACAGATTTAAGTCCTGGTTGCTGTACTTCCAATAAACTGCTGATGCACCTCAGGAGCAACTGAAGCCGGTCCAAGTGCCTCAGCCCATGCACCCACCAAACAGATCCTGATGGAATTCCTGGCTCCTGGTCCAGTCCTGGCTCTTGTGGCCATTTGGAGAATTACAGCAGACTCTTATCTCCCATCCCCCCATTGCACTGAGTGTATGTGTGTGTGTGTGTGTGTGTGTGTGTGTGTGTGTGCGCGCGCGTGCCTGCCTGCCTGTCTGTCTCCTAACTCTGGAAAAGAAAATCTACAAAAAGTAGAGAAAGAATGGAAAGTTAAAAGCGTTTAGAGGTGTAACCTATAGGAGGCTCAAGGTGAGACAAGGTTGTCAAGGTACAGTCCCACGACAGTGTGCTGGAACAGACATCAGAGGATGGCACGTGAGCGTGTGAAATGTAGCCAGCTGCCTCGGGACTCCAGAGAGGCACCGCCGGCTGCAGCCCCTCAACCTCGGACCAGAACCAACAGCCAACGTAAACCTCTTTACGATTCACTCAGTCTGTGGTGCTGTGTTATTAACAGAAAATTGACAAAGTCTTTGACATGTCTTTCATGGTGTGCTCACACCAGGATCAAGACAAGTCCGCAGTTGACACTAAGTTGCTAATTTACATGCCTATTTCAAAAAGAAACAAAATGTTCAAATGGTTCAGAAAGTTATGAAATGAAAAAGCGTTTTCTCTCTTTCCCAGCTGTTTTCTTGCATATCCTAGAATTTTTTTTTAATATACATGGTAAGCATATGTGTCTTCACAAATGGGATGATACTATATATATGTTCTGTAATTTTTATAATGAAAAAAAATCACGCTACTTTGCATAAATCTGCATATACTTGTACAAGTACTAAGTGATACATTTCCAGAGTTGGAATTGCTGGGCATGAATTTTATTTGCTCCATGCTCATCAAACACGGGAGAACGCCATTTTCCCGCACACGCTTCCCAGCTTTCACTAATCTGCTAAATCAAAAAGTGGGCTTTGGCTGTCTTTTGAAGTATCTCTTCCCTACAGTTTCCCAAGGCACGTTTCTTCACGGAAATAGAACTGTTCCACTAGAAAGAGTCGATGCCAGCAGTTTTAATCTAAAACCTTCTGAGCAAAGTAAAGAACTAAAACTATCCCTCGAGTGGAAAATCAAGGAGACTACAATCCACATTTCTTTTTCATTAGGATGTATATAAATACATTCTTTAGACTTTGGGGGCACTGTTGTGGTACGGCAGGTAAAACTGCAGCCTGTGGTGCCAGCATCATATTGGTGGGGGTTTTGAGTCCCTTTCAGCTCCTTGCCAATGTGCCTGGAAAAGCAGCAGAGGATGGCCCAAGTGCTTGGATTCCTGCAGCCCTGGTGGGGACTCACATGAGGCCCCTGACTTCCACCTTCAGCCTGACCCAGGCCTCACAGCCCTCTAGCACACGTGTCATGTCAGCAGATGCACACTCCCTTCTCTCTCCTACCATATTCTTTCAAATAAATAAATAAATCTCAAAAAACAGCCCACCAGACTTTGGAGAGGAAATGTTACTCCAGGTAAAATATAGGAAGTAAAGGGAAATAAAGTAAAATTCAATAGCTACAGGATCCTCTCTAGATCTGCCCTATCCATATAGAAGCCGCTGTCCCCATCAAACTCTTACGCACTTAACAATACAAGAGAACTACTATTTCTAATGTAATTTTTGCCCACACCAGCTGGGAATGAACGAGGGCACAGCCAGGAGGTCGGAACTCTGATAGGGGTCATGGATGTTGCAAATGGCAGCTTAACCTGATGCATCTCACTGCCTATCCTTCCATAGTAAATGTTGTGATAGATTAAAAAAAAAGATTAAATATGCCAGATGAAACCTACCATCTAAACTGAGATGTGACTTAAGTCTAAAATACATGCAAGATTTTGCGTGAAAATATATAAAATGTCTCAATAATTTATATAGATGTTTAGTAAAGTATTTTTGGCATTTTGGGTTAAATTATATATATGGCTTACTTTTCGGTCAGCCAGCTGTTTCAGACCAAGGTAATTAGCCACAAGGACATTTTCCTGGGAGCAGATCTGTGGCATTCCCGAAAACCTTATGACCCAAAGACAGTATGAAGTACTGTACTACATAGGGTGACAAATTGTCTCTTCTAGTTTGCTCTGAGGCCGCCCTCAAAAAACCTTTCTCATAAATATAGGTTACACTTATAAAACAGTTTACTGCATCCGTATTACTATCTCACTAAGGGTGGTTTCTAGCAGTCACCTCCGGTGATATTCATTAGCTGGACAACATGCACAAGCAGACTTCCTGGTACTGATAATACTAGCTTCCCTAGAGAGCCAGGAGCCCAGAGCTCCATCCTGGTCTCCCACATGGGTGACAGGGGCCCAATTTTCCACTGCCCTGCCAGGAGCATGAACAGGGAGCTGGATGGAAGTGGAGCAACCAGGAGTCAAAACACATTCACATGGGTGTTGCCATCACAGGCAGTGGCCTCACCACTGTGTCACAGTGCCAGCCTGGAAGTAAGATATTTTTTTAAAATGCTTTGCTTTTGAATAATTTGGTCATTTTATAAGTGAGTAAAATATTTAAATATACATATGTAAAGGAAGTTTGTAAAATTATTAGTTAATTGCTGTGTTGAAAACTGTTACTTCACTGCATGGGTGGCCTGATTACTCTGTAATGTTTGTGGCATTTAAATAAAACATTACGTACAAAATGTGTATCTAAAGTGTACATTTTCAAAATTACATTGAGAGTGCTATATCCTATAAAGTAGTAGGAGAGCAATCTTCTTTTATTTCCTCAGGATTTACGACTTCTGAGTTTCTCTCTGAAAGCGGCACAGCACAGCATTGTTCCCTGTCTGTCATACACTGCATATCCATTTCCAGACTTGCAAGATCAGAAGCTCCTACTCAGGAAGGTGGGGGTTCAGAACAGTCAGAGGCATGGAGGCGTGTACAGGTTTTAAAAAAAGAAACACTTAAAATGATCACTGCTCAGATTTCACAGTTGATATATTTTTGAAATTTCAAACAATATTAAAGCTACACAGTGATGTTGCTTTCCAAAAGGGGACCTAAGTTAAACAAGATAGAGGATCATCGTCCCAAAGCCATGGCACTTGATAATCCAGCAGGGTACCACAGTGAATGCCAGTTTGCACCGAGCTAACTGAAACCTTAGGACTTCTTGTTACTGGAAGAAGAGAATACTGAATAGCATGCTCCTGCAGAAAATTCTACTGAGTTCTTCAATCACAGTTAAATTTAGAATTGAAGTTTGAGCTATGCAGAGTAGGCTTTCCTGTCTATCTGAAGCATGCCTACACTTATCACCAAAAGCAGGTGTATTTGCAAAGTAAACACAGCATTTCAAACGCAGGGATCTCACGAGGCAAAACCAAAACTCTCCGCACAAATTTGTTACAACCACTTCTATCTGCAAGGAGGGCCATAAATACAATTTGCTTTACAAAGACAAGTGGAATCGCTATTTAGGCCTCATTATTCAAAAATTTGAGTTATCTCTTCACTTTGCCACCTGCCTCCATGGTTTCCAGACCTGTTGGAGCAGCCGAGTTGAAGATTAGGGACAAGTTGGAAATTTTCTTAACCTGTTGGCAGCAGTCACCACGTAGAAATGTTTCTTGAGATGCAAGAGAAAAAACAAAAAGGCATGTTTTTAGACCACTTGCTGTAGAAAGGAACAATGAGGGAATTTAAGAGGGTCTAAGCACTTGGTTTCACTTAAAAATTATCATTGCAAGAGGAAAAGTGATTTCTAGAGTTCTGGTGGAGCAGTCACATGACTTGCAGGGGCATGTGGGAGGTAAACACGGAGTGAGATGATGCAATCATGCCCCCCCCCCATCCATGAAAAGCACAGCACCTTACAAGGATATTTCTCAAACTGGGATTCACAACCCACCAGCTGATCTTGAACCCAAATTTGTGGGCATTTGTGGGCTGTGAACAGTACCTTATTTAACGAAACTAATGCCACAACTTAGAAAATGCCAGAGTGTTTCACGGACTGTTGGATGACACATGTTTGCGCAGCTGTATGAACTGCCTCCCAGGTAGAACATTTCAGTTTAGTTTTTAGTGAGGGTCTGAGCCATTACGAAAATGTTGGAAAGCCATTTCCCCAGATGGCAACTGCTTTTTAGCTAGGTTTTTTTTTTTTTTGTAGAGCTTTGTAAGGCTTTCAATCCATCACTTCCGGAACGTGTGGTGGGACAGACAACTGCAAGAACTTCACTACCACAGCCCTTGGGAACATGCTCAGCTCCGCCCTACCGCATGAAGTGACGCATGCAAGGGACTCTGAACTAAATATCATTTTAAGCCAGTTATTTTTGGTTTTGTGGCATCTTAAAATCAAGCCAGTTTTTTGACATGGGAGCGATTTGTTACCCGCCTCCCAATAATCTTCCTATTTAGAATCCAAATGTAAGTAAACACATAGTTACAATTCTGTCAAAAGCAGTTTAAGATGACTGTCGCCTTGACACAAAGTGAAGCCCATTACCTTCCATTTCCTCTGGGCTGTATACTTCTGCAGCAGCACTTGGGACTTGAGGCGGACTTTGGATTTAGAAGCTTTGGCGGGCAGGTGATTGAGCCACTCGTGTTTCAGGCACTGTGTGGCACTCATTCTGCAGCTGTGAAGTCAAACAGCAGTGGAGACTTTTAGCGGGGGTTGCCTTTTCTAGTTGTCCCAAAATCTGTTCAGTTGGGTAAGAAATCTGAGTCATTGGAAAGTATGAATCATTGAAGCAGACTCATGCTGTGCCCCAGGAAGGGAACTCCTTGTATGAAAAGTTCCCCTCCTTAAAACTGCCAGAACACCATCAGCAAAGTGTCCCTGACCTCCGCAAGGAATATCTCCCGGCGAGGACACTGGCCTTCGGCAGGCCCGCCTGGAACTGCTCAGCACAACAAAGACTCGGGGTGGATGTTTGGTCCCACAGTTAGGACACCACTTAGGCGCAGTGTCTGGGTTGGAGTCCCCGCTCTGTTCTCAGTCCCAGCTTCCTGCGGTGTGTACGCTGGGAGACAGTGGGTGTGATGGCTCAAGTACTTGGGTTCCTGCCATCCACATGAGAAACAGAGCTGAGAGCTCTGGCTTCAGCATGGTTCAGCCCTGGCTGTTAGGGGAATCTGGGATGTGATCTAGAAAATGGGAGTTTTCTCTGTCTGCCTTTCAAATAAATAAAAATAAACAAAATGTTTTTAAGGATTAAGCTGCTTCCTATGTTGCCATTGTCTCTTATGAGCACTGGTTAAGTCCCAGCTCTCCATTTCCAATCAGTTCCCCGTTAATGTACCTAGGAAACCAACAGATGACAGGAGACCAAGAAGGAATTCCAGGCTCCTGATTTTGGACTGGTCTAGCCCTGGTCTTGTAGCCATTTGGGTGTTGAACCAACAGATGGAAAATTCTTCTCTCTCTTTGCCACTATGCCTTTCAAATAAATGTCTTTAACAAATTAAAAAAAAAAAAAACTAAAAAGTAGACTTGAAAGAAGCTCATTTATTTTTGACTGCAATGTCAACTAGTATACCTAACTTCTCACAAATCAGAATGATAACAAAGCTGTGAATGTCAGGGATCTGTGGGTGGTGTTGGAGCTCAGATTCTGGAGTCTTAATCCTGGGTTAGTAAATTCCTTTGGTTATTTTCCATTCTTACTTTATTGCCTGAGTATCAAAAATCTCAATGGCTCTACTATGACTTGGATGCAACTGCTTCTATTTTATTTTTTATTTTACTTACATAAGTATTTTCTTTATACTTGAAAGGCAGAATTACAGAGAGGAGAGACAGAGAAAGATATTCCATCCACTAGTTTACTCCCCAAATGGCCTAAATAGACAGAATTGAGCTAATCTAATCCTGGAACCAAGACCTTCTCCCAAGCCTCCATGTGAGTAGGGAGCCCCAAGGATTTGAGCCATCCTCTGCTCTTTTCCCAGGCCAAAAGCAGGAAACTGGATTGGAAAGGAGTAGCTGGGACACAAACTGTCGCCCATATGGAATACCAGCACTGCAGGCAGAGGCTTAGCCTGTTGTACCATAGTGCTGATCCTAAATGTAACAATTGAAGTCTATACAGCTTTCCTCATAGAGATGAGGTGTTTAGACCTTTGTTATGAAGAATAATGTCTTTGTGTCTAAACTTCTCTTCAAGATTAGCCTATTATAAATGACAATTTAGAAATGAGATTCATTTGTAAATGTGTTCCTTTTAAAATTTTACCGAGATTTTATAATCCCAGTGGTTTCTTGAAACTGATTTCCTTTGTCCATTTGTTTATTCCTTTTATTGTTTCCAAATGAAGAACTCCAGAACAAAATTTGCCCCTTGGAGGAAAGGCCCTTTGACCTCAGCAGTCCTGCTTCACACCCAGCCCAGGGTCACCATCAGAACAGAGCATGCGTGACACGCTGTCAAGAGACCTCTTCTCTTTGACCAGCAGCCGGGAAACAAAGTCCTTGGCCTCCTCCGACAGTCCTTCAAAGGTGTCAGCGTCGAAATCCCAGCTACAGTTCACGATGAAGTTCATGGTTTCTGCATCTGTTTCCCCTAGAAACGGGGACAAGCCACTGAGTCTGCAGAAGAGAGAAAGGACCATCACCATCCAGAAGCCATGTTTGCCAGCAGGCATCAAGAGAAGGGAGAGGAAGCTTCTAAGGCCCAAGCTGATCTAATCCAGGATGCTTGGAAAAAAAAACCAGCCTCCTCCTTCTGCACGAAATACAGTCCAGTGTGCTCCTCAATGAAAGAAGTGGAAAGAGTGAAACTCGGAAGGCAGGAAGCATGTTCAGAGCAAACTTCCATTCAGGCTCACGACCGAAATGAGGGCCCAACTCAGTGTCTAGTTATCAAGTACATCTTGATTTGATTTAAAAATTGCTTTTCATGTGTCCGAGACAGCCAAGTTCATTTAGATACTACCCAGGCCTCCAGCCGTGAAAACTGGCTTGATTAGCCTTCTGCCACAGTGAGGACCTGGAGGCAAGAGAAGCTCAGGATCTGGCTTTGGGGCACTAAACTTTTCCAACTGGCATAACACACGTGCATGCACGCAAGCACACGTACACACACACAATGTAGCAGTGATAAATAATGATAAGCCTAGAGGCAAAGTGTGACTCTATTGGGCCTTGAGCAAGAAGGAAACAGCATGCAGAGCGGGAAGCAGCAAGGGTAGACAGTAGGGCAAGCAACATCCAGCTCACCCAGTGTCGCCGACCTACAAGCAACACTAGTGACGAGGCATACACACAAAAATCTGGAAAACAGGAACCGGAACCGGAACCTTTATTGCAAAAAGCGGGCTGCTTATATACAGCTCTCCACCAGTCACTTCTTGTGTGTCCACTCGGGGCTACCTGATAGGCCAGTAGCAATGGCATAATCTCAGCGAGGCCATCAGCCTATCCCTGTGACTTCCTGTTTGCCTACTGGCGGAACCAACCCCGCCTCGTGGCCCTGGGCCAGCCACCATCTTGCAACGGCTTTTCATACATGTGGGGGCAGCTCCAGTGTACTGCTCCCCACAACCCAGCCTCCCCCTCACATCTGCAGTGCACCCCAGCCCCACCTGAACTTCACTTGTCTACCAACCCAGAAACAAGAGGAGATGAATGAGAACTGATGGTCAATTCCCCAAGTCATTCCTCCACAAATGGAATAACCCTGAGTAGACGTCTCATGATGGATCCCACAGTTCTCCAGCAGAAATGGCACCAGTTGCCCCCAGATGGGTCTTATTGCTGAGTCACGAACACCTTCAGCTATTTCAGTTACGACTGATACCTGAGAGCCGATGATGAAGACGCTCAGCCCAGGTCTGGATCTATTGATACTAAGAAATGAGACACGTAGACCTCTGTTCTGAGGGGTAACATGCACGTCTCACTTACTTCTACACTGACTCACAGCTGAAAACTTGAGGGATTAGGATCAACTGTAAATACGGTACTTGGCTTACATGCCTGTAGCTGGCTGCTTTTCCTTTCCCATCCCACTACCCTGTGCGCCTACTGGTGTTTCCTTGGAACAAGGTAAAACGGAGGACCCCAGGACCCTCCACACTCACAGCATGTAAGTGATGACGCCCACACTCCACATGTCAGTGGGGAAGGAGACAAACTCATAGTTGACAACTTCTGGGGCCAGGAACTCAGGTGTGCCAAAGTTGACCTTCAACTTTTCCCGCGGCTTGTACCTAGAGAAGGGAGTTACAAAGGTGCAGGGTAGTGAGACTGGGACTAATTCCCGGTGGGAGGAGACATTCCCTGGCTCTTCCTGTCACTCAGGCTGCCTGGACCTCCTGCCCACATCACGCAGGTCACATGACAGGCCCCAAATACCTCAGAATCAGAAAGTGCCCTCATTCTCCAGGATTTTCCAATCTGAAAAGAAGAGATCAAGATGCCTTACTCAGCATCCCCACAGGGATGGATATTAAACAAAAAAAAATTAAAAAGAAAATAGCAAGTAATGACTGGGATGTGGAAAAATCAAAAATCTTGTGCACCTTCGGTGGGAAAGTAAAATAGGGCAACTATTGTGGTTACTTACTGAAAACAGTATGGTGGTTTCATTAAAAAAAATAAATAAAATCTAGAGCTATCGTATGATTGAGCATTTCCAACTTAGAGCGTGTCATTCTCAACAGAATTGAAAGCAGATTCACCAAAACATGTTTGTATAGCCTTATGCATAGCATTACACACAACAGCTAAAAGGACGAAGTTACTCAAGTGTTCACTGACAGATGGGTAAATAAACAAAATACAGTATAAACATGAAATGGAATGTTATTCAGCCTCAAAAAAGAAGGAAAGACATTATGAGATTAATGAATTAAGCCAGGCACAAAAAAAAATGTTGCATAATCCTGCTGCTACAAGCCTCCCAAGAAGTCACATTTACAGAGTCAAAAAGTAAAAAGGTGCTTGCCTGGGTCTGGGGAACAGACAAAAAATGAGAAGGTATTAATTAATAGTTGCAGAATCACATCTTTACCAAAGAAAAAGTTCTGAAGATTGGTTGCTCAACAATGTGAAAATCCTGAACACATAAAAATTAAGATGGTACATTTTTCTTCCTAAACTAATTAACTCATTTATTTCTTTTGAATTAAAAAAAGTAATTATGATGTTTAACACATTGTTTGGATATATGTATGACATCATATGTTTATTACTTTGTGGTAAGAACATTTAAAATTTATTCTCTGAGCAAGCTTCAAGTATACTACATTGCTGTTAAATGTAGTAACCCCACTGTCCAATGTATCTCTTGAACTCATTTCTCTTGTCTAACTGAAAACATTCTTCTGTCCTTTAACCAGGGCCTCAGCAGTGCCACACTGGCCTGTGTCTTACCAACACCATCAACTTTCTGTCTCTTCGAGTTCACCTTTTTTAGGCTCTGTGTGTGAGATCATAGGGTGTTATTTTTTTGAAAGACTTCTTCTTTTTTTTTTTTAAATTGCGAAGTCAGATAGACAGAGAGGAGGAGAGACAGAGAGGAAGCTCTTTCATCTGATGATTCACTCCCCAAGTGACCACAACAGCCAGTGCTGCGCCAATCTGAAACCAGGAGCCAGGAACTTCCTCCAGATCTCTCACACAGGTGCAGGATCTCAAGGCTTTGGGCCGTCCTTGACTGCTTTCCCAGGCCTCAAGCAGGGAGCTGGGTGGGAAGTGGAGCTGCTGAGATTAGAACCAGTGCCCATATGGGATCCCGGCGCACTCATGGCACGGACTTTAGCCAAGCCCAGTGTTCTCTGCCTGACTTCTTCTTCTTAACACAATATCATCCATGTTGTTGCCTATGACAGGGTTTCCTTCTTTTTAAAGCTGAACACTATTCAATTGTATTCTATGCATTCAGCTTTGCCATTCATCCATTGGTGATAACCTGTATATTTGTTATTAGAATCAAGATAAAAGAATTAGACAAGTTCTGGTCATGAAGTTTCACAAGAGGCTGCCACTGTGGTTCTAGACCCTGCCTGGGAAGCAGGTGTGAGACACCAGCAGAGGCTAAGCAAGGAGAATTGCTCTGCCTCCGTGGGAATGAGGCTTTCCCTCTCTGCTTATGAATACAGTGAGGGAACCCATAAACTCATAATTTTTTTTTAAAGATTTATTTTTATTATTTTTTATTGGAAAGGCGGATATACAGAGAGGAGAGACAGAGAAGAAGATCTTCCGTCCGATGATTCACTCCCTAAGTGAGCACAACGGCCGATGCTATGCCGATCCGAAGCCAGGAGCCTCTTCCGGGTCTCCCACGCGGGTGCAGGGTCCCAAAGCTTTGGACCGTCCTCGACTGCTTTCCCGGGCCACAAGCAGGGAGCTGGAAGGGAAGCGGGGCTGCCGGGATAGAACCGGCGCCCATATGGGATCCTGGGCGTGCAAGGTGAGGACCTTAACCACTTGCGCCACCGTGCTGGGCCCAACTCATAATTTTTTAAAAGATTTATTTCTTTTTATTGAAAAGGCAGATTTACAGAACAAAGGAGAGACAGAAAGATCTTCCATCCACTGGTTTACCCCCCAAGTGGCTGGAGCTGAGCTGATCTGAAACCAGGAACTTGGAACTTCTGGGTCTCCCATGTGGGTTCAGGGGTTGTCCTCTACTGCTTTCCCAGGCCACGAGCAGGGAGATGGATGGAAAGTGGAGCAGCTAGGACATGAACCAGCACCCATATGGGGTCCTTGTGTGTGCAAGGTGAGGATTTAACCACTGAGCCACTGTGCCAGGCCCAAATCTCATAATTTATTTGAGGGAAAGTTATGAAGTAACAAAAAACAAACAACAACAACAACAACAACAAAACCTTCAGCAAGAGGAGCTGCAAGACCTACCCAAAAATATGTGATTCCCACAGAAAAATCATTCTTGGAGGAAACAGAATTCTCAAGGAAGCCTGGAAGCTGGCATACAACCTTGCCATGTGTACGACTTGTGAATGCTTGGTAGCCATGCAGCAGCCCTGACAAGGCCAGGACCCTGTTACTAACCACTTCTAAGAACCCACACTGCTGTGGGTAAGAGCTCTACATAGGCGCTCTACTCACCTTCCATGACTGGGTAGGATGGACAGTAAAACCACACTTATCTCACCAGGCATCTTAAGGGAACTGAAGCTCTCTTAAATTATATACATTTTGGGAAGTAAAACTTGAGAACCAAACCACCCTCAGAGCATGATCTTGCACTGTTCATGCATTATCCCATTCAGCTCTTACAACTGCCTCTCTGATGTGTTGCCATTTTAGCCATACTCAACCCAGTCCTTGTGGCTCCAGAGCCACTGACCCACAAAAACACCCAACACTATCATTAAGGTGCTTTCATATTTAACCCAGTCATCTCCCCCAGGGCAGGGCTGGTGATCCTGGATACACTGCACAGGCCAACACAGCCTGGTCCCAGGGAGCCTGGGAAATCAACGGAATTGCAGCCCTGCATCAAGCAACCCCTTAAACTGCCACTTCCCTCTCTTCTCTAGCAGGTGGATTGGAGCTCTGCTAACGCACAGCATTCTAGACAGAAGTGGAGCCCTCATCATGAAGCCATCTCCTGCAGCAAGGCCCATCTTCAGGGCCAAGGCTAGTAGCCTCTACATGCAAGAGCTTTCCTGTACTCTCTCAGAACTGAAGGACTGGCAGGTCAGTGTCTAACCAGGCTCGGGATACCTACAAGGAGTCCCCATCGAATTCTGTCCAAGTGTCAGAATAAACTTCTCTTACCTTCTGGCCAGACCAAAGTCAATGATCTTAATCTGATGTCCTGTCTGATTGACACACAGAATGTTCTCTGGCTGGGAAAGAAAGAGAATTCTGCTTAGTCCAATGAACAACTATGGAGATCCATAGCTCCTACACTTACTTATTTGTCTTACAACCCACAGTTTCCCAGCCTCTGGAGATCAATGACTCAGGGAAGCCCTGCAGGGACCAGAGGGAGTCAGGACTGGTGAGATGTGAAGGAGTGGAGTGAACTGGGGAGCCAGAGGAATCTTGCCTTGCACCAAAGGGCAGCCCCCACTTGACTCCAGCCACCAGTCACCATGCAGGAGCACAGGCACAATTGCCAGTCTCTCACAAGCTGCCATAAATTCAGCATTTCATCTGAAAATACCATGCTTCTAAATGTTTATGGCTCCATAAAAAGTCAAACACACATTCATTAAGCAGGACACCCAAACAGAACACCACTGTGATGCTGATTTGCCCAACAACTGTTAGCTGGGGCGAGTGCTCCCAGCCCTGGCTGCACATGGGAATATCAGGGAAACTCTGTAGAAGTCTGAGTGCCCAGGCCCCAACCCTGACCAATGACATCAGCATCTCAGAGGTGAGCATCACTGGCCTGATCAGGAGAGGGCTGCTAAATGTCCACCTGACTTTTTGCTGTGATAGCTGAGAGCCATGGAATGTGCAATGGTGGCCTTGACACATCTCCTTTATGTATTTCAGGTAACCACTTTCCCTTCCAGGCTTATAAGCAGCCTGGCAAATGGGAAGGGTTCTCTCTTTCTCTCTCTGTTCCCATGGACACAAGACAGAAGGCTTCAACTACATTGGAATCAAACCAGAACATGTCGGCATTATAGCCAGTCAGCATGGTTCTGGTACATCTATATTCCGCCCCACCGGTGTGCATCAAAGATTAGCCCAGTATGTTGCAGTGCCTCTGTTCTGCAGGGCTTGGACTGGCTCCCTGCTTGTGGCCTGAGGGGAAGCAACAGAGGATGGTCCTGATTCAGAAACTCCAACCACCCACCTGGGAGACCTGACTGGAGCTCCTGGCTCCTGGCTCTGGGCTGGTCCATCCTTGGCTGTTGCCATCATCTATGGGGTAGGCTAGAGGAATGGAAGATCTCTTTCTTCCCCCCTCTCTCTCTAACTCTTTCAAACAAATAAAAATGATTTTTTAAAAAAATTTATCATTTCAAATTATGTAATTCAGCAATTTTTTAGTCTTTTCTTAGATTTGTATACTAGCATTATCCTTTCAGAAGATTTTCATTCCTTCACACACACACACACACACACAAAACCACATCCATCATCAGTCATTCTTTATTCCTCCTGCAACCCAGAGCTCCAAGAACTGTTATTATATTTTCTTCTCCTATGTATCTGCCTATTCTAGTTACTTTATATAAATGTGATCATACAATATGTATATGATTTTATGACTGGCTATAATTTTTTCAAGGTTCATCCATGTTATAATAAATACTCATTTTCACTCCTAAACAATATTTGATGCCATTTTTTTCATCTATTCACTAGTTAATTAACATCCAGGTAGTTTCCACTTTTGGCTACTGTGTGTAAAACTGCAAAGAACATCTGTAGACAAGGTTTTGTGTCCATCTGTTTCATTGTTTTAAATATATACTCAGACCAGAAAATACTGGGTCATATGAGAATTCTATATTTACTGTTTTAGGAAATCCCTGTTTGTCTTTCTTATAAATATACAACATTTTATCTTTTAATTGTGAGAAAGAAGGCGAGACAGAGAGAGAGAGAGAAAAATTTTCCATCCGAGGTTCAGTCTCCAAATGGCCACAGCCAGGTAGGTCTGGGCCAGGCTGAAGCCAGGACTGAGATGCTCCATCTTGGTCTCCCATGTGGGGACAAGAGCCCCCCGGAACTTGGTCCATCTGCCATGACCTTCTCAGATACACTAGCACTAAGATCAATCCAGAGCAGAGTATTGAGGACTCAACTCTGACATGGGATACCAACAACTTAGGCAGCAATTTATCCTACTGCATGGTAACACTGGTTCCCAAACTGTTTTTGACATTGGATGTGACAGTGTGTGATGGCCATGTCCTCCACCTTTCTCTCCCTTGGTCAGCCCTCAGCCTCTGTCCCTGCTAGCCCAAGCACCATGTCTTCAATTAATTTGCAGAATTTCAATGGAGAGGTATTTGAAGTTGAGATGGAAATTGCCAAACAATCTGTGACTATCAGGACCATAACGGGAGATTGTGGAATGAATGATGAAGGTGATGACCCAGTTCCTCTATAAACACTCCTGCAGAGGTATTAGAAATGGCATTCAGCCACCACTCCTGAAGGCGAAGAAAAGTGAGCGGATGTTATCCCAGACCAAGAATTCCTCAAAATTGACCAAGGACAACACTTCTTAGTTTTTCTGGCTGCAAACTACATACAGCAAAAGTCTTCTTGGTCTGCCTGTCTGATCTAGGGGGAAATTCCTGGGGAAATTTCCAAGACCTTCCAAACAAGCAGACTGTACTGAAGAAGAGGAAGAGCAGACAGAACCAGTGGGGTGAAGGGAAGCGAGATGCTGTGCTGGACACAGTGCCACTTGCAGCATTGTTCTAAATGCTGGTTGCACTGTTCTGTCCATTTTGGGCAGACTAGACAAAGGCAGCAAACCGCCACTTTCAGCAGAATCTTGTCCTCACTGCCCGCACGCTCTGCGTAGACATTCAGATGTAGACTGACTGACTTCCAGTATGAGCCAAAGTTCCTATTTTCCTTGCTCTGCAGGGAACTGAACTGTGTGTTCTCTATAGAAAGCAGCATTTCGGCCTTTCCCTCTTTTTGTAAAACAAATTGCTTCTTGGTTTATTGTCCAGTTAACTTGAGTGGTTGTTTTTTTTTTTTTAAGTTGGAACTGTAAATAAAATAACTTTCAAAAAGTTTTCCAAGATAGAATTAAGAAAATGTTCTCTGTAGTCACGAATTGGAGCTGGAAAGAGGATATTAGGAAGTATGACTGGTATTGCTTAGCTTATACGTAGCAGCACTCCGTTAAGGGGGTCTGAGGACTTGATTTTATGTTTTAATCCTCTCAGTTTTGAACATATTGCCTAGAAGAATCAGTTAGTACTTGGTGTGCGTGTGTGTCTTTAGGGGAAGTAGATAAATATAAATATGCAATCAGTGGATAGCCAAGACTTTCTATTCTATGCATTTTTATTTCTCATTTGGCCGGTCTAGTGAATTTGAAATGGTATTCTGAGTTACATTTTCCTAACGATGTTCAGAATCTTTACATGTGCTTACTAGCATTGTGTATCTCCGTTGATAAATGTGTATTAAAATCCTTTCACTGTTTTTTAAGTTATCTATGATTGAGTTGCAAGTGTTCTCTATATCCTAGAAACAGATTGTGTATCATACAGACGATTTGAAAATCTTTTCTCCAATCCTGTGAGCTGTCATTTCACTTTCTTGATCATGTTCTTTGAAGCACAATGGTTTTAATTTTGATAAAGTATAATTTATCTATTTTTACTTTCTTATGTTTTAGGTGCTATATCTAGGAATCCATTGCCAAATCTAAGATTACAAAGGTTTATTCCTCTGTGTTTTAAGAATTGTAGAGTTTTAGTTTTTATATTTAGGTCAGTGACCCATCCTGAATTCATCTTTGTATGTGGTGTGAGGTGTGTGGCTTTATTCTTCAGATATCTAGCGTGATGTCCCCACAACATTTAGTTAAAAATACCTTTTTCTCCATAGAATAGTTATCATAGCAGTATCGGAGTCGATCAGTCACACACGTAAGGGTTTCTCTTTGGACTCTCCACCGTCCTCTGTGTTTCTGTCCTTGCACTAGGACTCCTGTGACTTTAGCAGCTTCCAAGAAAGTTTTGGAATCAGGAAATGGGAGACCACCAACTGTCCTTGCTCAAGTCTGTTTTTGCAACTCTGGGTCCTTGCATTCCTACCTGAAGTTTGAAATCAGTTTGTTAAATGCTCTACTAAACGAAAAAGGTGGAGCAGTGGACACAACATGTAAAAGGAGAATAAGGTAGCACATTTGGTGCTGTAGCAGAAGCATAGAACTAACTGGACAACTACCCCAAACAAATGATGACAGCAAAAAATTTCAGTGAATGGAGTCAATGGACATTGGGAGGATGACATCATCCTCAGATGGGTGAAATTGGCAACATTTCAGAACTCTATCCAAACCACGTGGACAGAACTCTCAGAGTATGTACACATTGAGACCCTGGGTTGATATGAGGTTCCTCATCCCTGGGTACTGGGATGTATGGAAAGTTGTGAGTGGTATTCCCCTTTGCTTCTCCCCTTCCCCCAGAAACAACAAGAAGAAATAGCAAATTTGGAAGCAACAAATTCACCCTAAACCTTGATCCTTGATCCTTCCCACCCTGATCAACCATGTAATCAATATTTTTAAAAATAATAAATGATTATCAGTTCATTAAAATCTGAAAAAATCCAATCAGGATTATGATAAAAAATAATGTTGAATTTGTAGATCAATTGGGGGAATATCGTCACTTCGGTGGTATTACCTCTTCCAACCCATAACAACCGGAATTCTTATGCATTAAGTCATTTTATTTTTTTTTCAAAATTGCTTTGTAGTTATCAGAGTTTGTCTTGCACTTACTTTGCTAAATTTATTCCTAAGTATTTTATTCTTTTTAAAAAAGATCTATCTTACTTTAACTTGAAAAAGTTACAGAGGGAGGGAAAGACAGGGAGAGCTATTCTGTCTGCTGGTTCATTGGCCTCAATGGCCAGAGTTGGGCTGGGATGAGGCTGGGAGCCCAGAGCTTCTTTCTGGCCTCTCACATGGGTGCAGGGCCCCAAGGCCTTGAGCCATCCCCCACTGGCCATTATTAGGGAGCTTGGTTGGAAATGGAGAAGCTGAACAAGTCAGTTTCTATGTGGGATGTCAGTGTCACAGGAAGAGGATTAACTTGCTATGCGACCACTCCAGCTCCAGTATTTTATCCTTTTGATACTATTGCAAGTGGAATTGTTTTTCTATTTTGATTTATGGATTGCATACCGCTAGTGTTTAGAAATATAACAAACGGGCCTGGCACAGTAGCTTAGTGGCTAACTTCCTTGCCTTGCACACGTCAGGATCCCATATAGGCCTCACTTCCCTCCCAGCTCCCTGCCTGTAGCCTGGAAAAGCTGTTGAGAATGATTCAAAGCCTTGGGACCCTGCACCCATATAGAAGACCTGGAAGAAGCTCCTGGCTCCTGGCTTTGGATTGGCGCAACTTCAGTCATTGCAGCTGCTTGGGCAGTGAACCAGTGGATGGAAGATCTTTCTCTCTGTCTCTTCTCCTCTCTGTATATCTGACTTTGCAATAAAAAAATAAAATAAATCTTTAAAAAAAGAAATATAACACACTTTTTTTTTTACAGTTGTCCTACAACTTTGCCTAATTTATTAATTCTAACATTTCCTCTCCTGAGGATTTTCTCTGTACAAGATCCTATCGTCTGTACCTTTTACTTCTTCCTTTCCAATATGGATGTCTTCTATATCTTTGCATGCCTAATTGTCTTGGTCAGAGCTTCTAATAGAATGTTTAGCGGAAATGGCAAAAACAGACATCAACTGTCTCATTGCCGATCTTACAGGGAAAGCTCTAAGTCTCCTACTGATAAAAGCTTAGTATTAGCAAGGCCAGCATTGTGGCACAGTGGGTAAAGCTATTACCTGTGATGCTGACATCCTATAAAGTGCTTGTTTGAAACCTGACTGCCTCACTTAATAATATATTTTATTTTAACTCTATATATATGAAATTTTATCATTCCAATGATTATCAATATTTTAAAAATCAATGAGAGATTGTCCATCATTTTCATACTAAATCTTTGAAATGCAGTTTGTATCTTCTATGTGAAGTGTATATCAATTCACATCCTAAGTTTTCATCAGAAATATTTGAACTGTATTTAAATTCCATGAAATCTACAGTTGGAAAATACACTAACATATCTGTTGTTCCAAACATACCAAACTTTTCAAATAACCAAAGCAAGTGTCAATTTTAAATGAATTAAAATGAATAAAATTTAAAGTTCATTTCCTCAGCCTAACAAACCACATTTCAAGTGCTCTACAGCCACGTAGGGCTGATGGCTATTATATCAGACAATCCAACGCTGAAGCCCTTTCTTCATAGTTTAAAGTCTATTTACTTATTTCCATTTACTTGAAAGGCAGAGTGACAGGAAGAGTTCTTCCACCCTCTGGTTCACTCCTCATATCCCTGTAATAGCCAGAGTTGGGCCAGGCCAAAGCCAGGAGACTCTTACATGTGTGGCCAGGACTCAAGTATTTGGGCCATTTTGCTCTCTCCTTAGCAAGAAGCTGGATCAGAAGCTTCCAGAGACAGGATTCCATCATAGGGATTCTGATATGGGAAAAAGGTGACCCAAGTATGACTTAACCAACCCTCACAATTCTCTTAGCAGATAGGTACTGTGAAGTTACTTAACCAGGACTCACAACCAGACAAGGGCAGAACCAACATAAGGTCTGCTCTTGGCTCTGAAATGGGCCTCAACTCTCTACCTGAGCTGTTTACTGCGTAGTCACAGGAATTTCTCAAAAGTTGGTCCTTGACCCAGAATCATAAAGTGGATCACTGAGCTCTCCCCAACTGTCCATTCCACAAGAGAAGCTGGTCTTGAATTTGCTCTAGTGAGCAGCAAAAATCTGAGGCCCACCATCTACACCATGTTTCTGAGTATCCCAATGTCACAGTCTGATGTTAATCAAGAAAGGAGGTTCAAAGCGCAAGGAGCACCCCACAAGTGCGGCCAACTCAGTTCCCATCTTTTGCAGGGAACCACTGAAATTCTTCCCTGTCCTCAAACGGCTGGTAGGCAAATACCTGTTGGCACAATGGAATGGAAAAACCACAGGAATAGTCACTAGGAATCACATGTTTGCCACCATCCAGGAGCTGTGCCCAGGACTCCTGGGAGTGAAAGGAGAGTGGGTAAGAGGATAATCAATGGAATATCACATAGCGCTTAGAATGAGAGAAGATCTCCAGTGTGTTGTTAGCTGGAGAAGCAAGCTTCAAAGCCACATGGATCCTATGTGCTCCTATCCTTGGAGCATTTGTATGTCATGGGCATTGCACATAGTACACCTCTCAACATGAAGACTTCACTGGGCAGAACCCTCACCATCTATTCTTACACCACTATGTTGGCTCTATATACTTATAAGCATGTTGCATCTTCTACTTTTAAAAAATTACCTTAAGAATACTTTTGAAGAAAAAAAAAGGTCACTCTAACATCTGAAGTTCAAATTAGACATAAAGAGGTTCAATTACCCCCAAGTTGCAGGTGAGAGAACTGAGGCTCACAGAAGCAGCACCAGGGGCCCTGCCCAAGGCTCCAGAACTCATACATGGCAGAGAACCAAGCAGTGGCAGCCAGGACTGTTGACAGCTCTGATGACAAGAACACAACAGAGACTCAGGAACTGGGAGGCCCAGCTGCCACAAGCCTGGGCAGAGCCTACCTTGAGGTCCAGGTGCAGGATGTAGTGCTGGTGGAGGTAGTGCACGCCTTCACAGATCTGCTTGGTGAACAACACCACATCCAGTTCAGTCAGATGGTACTTCTCATCCGTGATCCGGTCGAAGAGTTCACCCCCATCCACACTGCCAGCACAGAAGGAGAGGTGGGCATCTGCTGAGCAAGGTTCTCAGAGTACTGTCCAATGGCTATTGTCAATAGTTGAAGGAAGCTGACCCAGACAAGTCTAAGGTTATATCCTGTGGATCACAGGGCCACTGCCACTTGGTGTTGTATGGGATCTTTCCTGTGGCCCATTCACAGCAAAAACTGAGAGTGTAGGTCGCAAAAAGGAAATAAGAGGGGTCAGTGTTGTGACACTGCAGTTTAAGCTGTTGTCTGCTACATTGGCATCCCATTTTGGAACACTACTCCACTTCTCATCCAACTCCCTACTAATGCACCTGAGGAGGCAGTAGGAGATGGCCCAATCGATCGGGCCCCAGTCACAGACATGGGATATCGGAATGAAGTTCCTGGCTCCTGACTTCAGGCTTGGCCTAGGAGAAATGCATGGAACATCTCTCTCTCCCTTCCTCCCTCCTTCTCTCCCGGTGTGTGTGTGTGTGTGTGTGTGTGTGTGTGTGTGTGTGTGTGTGTTTGTGAGAGAGAGAGAGAGAGAGAGAGAGAGAGAGAGAGAGACTCCTAAACAAAGGGAAGTAACTGATCAGGGAGAAGACAGGATGGTCTTCGATGTTGCTAACCAAGGGTAACTTTGAATACTCCACACCAGACTTGTAAACACATCTGCCTACAAGGGGCCACCAGTACCCACATGGCAAGCAAATCAACTATGCAAATCAGACCATAAATGAGATACACAATTTCTGAAAACAGTCATTAGTCAACCTTGCTTTTCCATTTTTGATAGAGATGTGATGTGACAAATATTTTACTTTCCTCGGTCCTTGCAGCAGAAAAACTGCAACACAAACACATACATCAGAGGACTTTGAGCCTTTTGTCTCAGTGCTGGGGTGGCTGGCAGGTGAGAGATGGGCAGCCCTGCCCACCGGGCACAGCCACTGTGAACTCCAGCAGTTTCCAGTACAGTTTCTAACTGCACTGTTCGATCTTTTGCACTTTCTGGAGAAGTCTGGTTCTAGATTTTACATGACATCTTCTCCTTTCCAATTGTTTCTTCTTCAAAATAATGGAATCCTTCATGAATTTGCTGGGACCTTTGTGCGGAGGTGGTACTCATCTCTGTGTGGTTCTGATCCAATACATGTGTGCTAAAGTAAGAACTCAAACTGTTAACAGCTAAAACTCACAATTACCCCCAAGCAGCTGCACCCCACTGGCTTATGAGAAGATGAGTCCATGGTGAAGGTCAAGCAGGCAAGCCAGGAAAGAGGGGGTGCCGAGGCGCTGGAAGTCTCAGCAAGAGGAATGCAAGGGGTGGCGTGGCTCCAGCCCCACATCCGGGCCCAAGAAGCAGGTGCTACCCCAACCCTAGACACTCACTACTCCAGGACGAGTGTGCAGCTGTGCTTGCCCTCGAAGGCATCGTAGAGCTGGATCAGGTTCACATGACTGAGCTGGTTCATGATGTTGATCTCATTCTTCACATCCTCCTGGTAGAACCCGGGAGAGAGAAGTGTCCACACGTGTGGACCAGCTGTGCCTCCCAAGACACACACATACACACTCACACACTCATGCTCTCACACCAAATCTCCTTGATCCATCAACTAGGCCTTAGAACAGATGAGACCTTTATCCAGAGAAAAGTTTTATTGATCTATTTCATAGATCACAACTCTGAGGCCCAAGAAGGAGATGAATTTGTGGTATAGGGTCTCACAGGCAGCTTGGCAGTACCATGCCTTGATGCCCACCATAAGTCTAAGGAGTGCGGGGTGACTGCTGATGGAAGTTAAGAGAGTCATGGGAAAGAGGTGGGAAGGGCCGTGGGCACTGCCCATTGTGCACAGGGGTGTAGGGCACTAGGCTGGGTGAGGATGAAGATCTAAAGGAAGGGAATGAGTCCTGAGCTTGGCCAGAGGCACCTGGCTGGCCCAGGACAGATGCCTCACCCGGTCCTTGGCGCTCTTCACTTTGATGATCTTGGCTGCCAACAGAAGCCCCGTGGACTTCTCTGTGCACCTGTGGACCTGGCCAAATCGGCCCCTGTAGAGATACAGGAGTGAATCAGAGGTTGAAGGTCCAAGGGGGTTCACCTGCATACCCAGCTGGCAACTGGTTCCTTAGGCTTCCTGCTCCTAATTGCTTCTCCACACCCACCCTGAAAACCACCCTACACCCCAAAGCATATACTTGCTGTCACCCCTACAGCAGGGGCTCTCATGACACCTAGAAAAGATCTCTTCATGCTATTTCCTGGGTCTCTTCTGTACCCTAAGGGGAAGCCACTTCACCCCACACCCATGGGCTATTCTGTCCCACAGAAACTGTCCTACACCCATGTCAGCTTTCCTGTATCCACGCCCTGCACCTCCCCTTGCCCAGGCTGCAGGGGCTCTCCTTGCCCTCTGGGGCTATGCTGTCTTTCTCACACTGTGCAAGCTATCCATCTCCTACTCCAGGCTTGATTAGACAGTTCCTAGAATCACCCAGCAGTGGGTTCGGCCCCTAGCTCAAAGTGGACTCTGCCCCCACTGCACCTGCTTCCACTCTTGACGGGCAGACAGCCACCTACCCTCCCAAGACTTCATTCTGGCGTACTGTGTAACCTGTAGAGATTGAGGTCTCCTTGACGCTCACCACTCGGTGTTCAAAAGGTGCAGGCGGGGCGGGGCTGTCATCTGTTGGGGAGACCACACAGAGGCTGTGAGCCAGGTCAGCCATATGGCACGCCAAGTGGCAAGCCCATAGCCCTTTGTTCAGCCCTAGTATAGGAATTGTTAGAGTCCAGGCTAGAGCCCCCTGGAAGTTAGGGTGCAAACTAGTCAACCCCCAGAAAATGACAAAGAGTCTCGCTGGTAACGCAAAAAGCAAAGAGTTTATTGTGCCAGCATGCTGGGGTCAGACCATACTTGGAGCACGCAGGCCAGCCAAGCGGAGATCAGACTCCCCTAAAATAAGGCTAGAGATTATATAAGGCCCTTTTGGCTATAACACATCAACGTCAACTTAAAATGAACAACTTCAGACTTTTCTGGCTCCCAAGTGGAAGCAGTCTACTCCGGTCCCACGGCTCATCCCATCCTGGCACCCTTATCTTTATGGCTCTTCCAGTCCCTGGGACCAGGGAATTGCGCCCCTGCCTTCCTGCACCAGGTTAGTTGATAGATACGGTTACAGAGGACTAAAGGACAGATTTGTTGCTAAAGTGGAGTTTTCCTACAGTTCAGGTGCCTCCTGACCTAGTGAAGTAACGGCTCCTTGCCACAAAGGGCCCAATATCGCCTAACGCTAATATTCTAACATTATACCAACAGTCTAACAGAGTCATCTCAGTGAAGGCAGCTGTTGTGGCACAGCAAGTTAGGCCCCTGCCTGAAACACCTGCATCCCCTATGGGAATGCCTGGGATGCAGTCCTGTCTCTATCTTTGTTCTAGCTCCCTCCTGATGCATGCTCTTGGAGGTCAGTTCAAATACCAACAGCCAAATCTGGGACAAGTCAAAGCCAAGAGCTCAGAATTCAGTCTGGCTCTCCCACGTGGGTTACAGGGACCATGTACCTGAGCTACCACCTGTTATCTACCAAGGGCGCACACTGGCAGGAAGGTGGGATCAGAAGCCGAGCAAGAACTTGAATCAGACACTCAATAGGGGTTCTATCACAGGCTTTCTAGTCCTCTAGTGTGGTTAGGACCAGCTACCTTTTCCTTTAAAGAAAAATTATTTATTTTTTTATTGGAAAGGCAGATTAGATTTGCAGTGAGGAGAGACAAAGAAAGATATTTCATCTGCTGATTCACTTTCCAAATGGCTGCACTAGCTAGAGCTGAGCTGATCTGAAGCTTCTTCTGGGTCTCCCATGTGGGTGCAAGATCCCAAGGCTTTGGGCCATCCTACACTGCTTTCCTGGACTATAAGCAAGGAGCTGGAAGGGAAGTGGAGCATCTGGAACATGAACCTGAGTCCATATGGATTCCTGGTGGGTACAAGGTGAGGATTGAGCCATTGAGCCATCATGCTGGGCCCAGGACCAGCTATCTTAATCACAGCATCTTAACCACTGTGCCAAACACCCACCCTATGCCTTCCTGGTCTCCACCCAAAGCAATACCATTGGCAGAACTATAAGTCAGGGATGTGGATTGGGGAACTCTATCTACCTGCCCCAACTCCAGCCATTGGCAGTTCTGCATCTCTGCACATGGGTCTCCAGCCATGGGATGGACTTGGAGGCTATTTGTACTTCACATCTGCATTATGCATCCCTAGAGGCTGAGCATGCCCCTAGCAGGAGCAGGGCTGCAAATCCACTGAACTCAGAGCCCGGGGGGAACCAGAGGACCGCCTTACTTACCCAGAATCATGCCACCAGCCTTGGCATCAGGAGGCGTCTTCCCTCCTGCTTCAGCTCTCGTGGAGCCCCCGGCTGCACAGTCCTTCCTAGGCTCAGGATGTCCTGCTTCCAGGCCTCTGTCTTGCTGCAGGTCCAGAGTCCTGGCAGCATCATCTGCTTCATTGCTTCTGGCCAAGTGTGGTGTCACAACTGCCTCATCCCCAGGCCTTTGCTCTCCTGCCTTTGCAACTTTTTTGCTGCTCCTCTCCTGCAGTGCAGGAAGTTCTCTGGTCCCTCCAGGGGGTTCATCTCCTGACTGAGTCCCAGGACTTTCAGGGCAGTATCCAGAACCAAGTGGGTCTTGCTCACCTGCAGGGGCAGCTACTGCAGCCTCTGCAGGGACTGTGGGTCTCAGGCTGTCCCCTCGTGTCACAAGCAGCTGCCCTGGAGTATCCATCTCCTGCACTCGGATGGAGATCCTGGGGCAGACAGAAATATGGCCTGGGGTTAGTTAAACACAAAGACCCTGGAGTCAGAATAGATAGGCACTCAAGGCCTATTGCTATCACTCACTGCCAGGGACCTCTTGACCTCTTCTCTGTGAAATGGGGGAGTCAGTGCAGTTATATCAGTAGACCCATACTTGTGGCTGAAATCAGCAGGTTCCCAACCTTGCTTCTGGCATCTCTGAGCACATCTACCCAGACAGGGCACTGTGGCATGGTGCCCGCTAGCTTGAGAAAACCCAACAAAGACAGCAAGATGTCCCATGAGGTTCTTGAAAACCGACTTCCATCCCAGGAGGATTGTGGACTGCAGGTGGGAGATCGGGTCCCTCTCACCTTCTTCTAGGCCTCAGTCTTCCCTCCCAGCTAAGCTAAGGTGAAAACCCATGTCAAACATCACACTAGAAGCCATCAATCAGATGCAGGTAATTAAAATAAGGCAGTTAGGCACCACTGGAGCAGGCTAAGCTTTCCTCTGCAATGTTTGCACCCAGGTGCTAGTCCCAAATCTTTCTTGGGCCACTGGGAAAGCCCATGTACTGGGACCATCATCACCCACATGGGAGACTTCATGGAGTTCCTGCCTCTTGAATCCTGACTTGGGCCTGGCTCAGCCTTGGTCATTGCAGCCATTTCAGGAGTGAAATCTGTCAAATAAGTAAACCAAATTAAAAAAAAAAAAAAAAACCCAGGCCATGGCTCCCAAGACTGGACTTTGTTTCTCTGGAGTAAACAGAGCCATGGCCTTCATGGCTGCACTCCCAGGTCCACTTCATTCATCTTCATTATAGCAATCTGAAACAGTGAGTGGGGATCAGGAAGACCCTCTGAGCCCTGACACCCTGAGGGAGGGACCTGGATCCTGAGCCACCTCATCTCTGCTCGCCCTCAGTGGGATCACAGTGCTTCCCCATCCTGGGCTCTATGTGGCTTAGCAAGGAGCCGGAAGGGACGGTATCTAATGTGGACTAGTCTTAAGGAGGAAGTCAGGTGGCCTCGTCTCCACTCTGCCTGTGGGTTGCCAGGCAGCTTTAGACAAGTCTAGCTGCAGTTCCATCAAAAGTCAAACAGGAGTGGTTACACGTTTCAGGCACACTCAGAGTTAAATGAGAGCGGAAGCATACACATAAGATGCAAAAAGCGAGGCCTTCCAGCAGGTGTTGGGACACAGAAAGTTAATCACCCAGTTGTAACTCTGGCATTCCAAATGATAAGAGTTCAAGTCCCAGCTGCTCTTTTCTTGATCCAGGAAGCAACAGAAGATGACTTGAGTACTTGCACCCCTCCCACCCAGATAGAACACACAGCTGCAGCTCCTGGCTCTTGCCCTTGGCTTGGCCCACCCCTAGCTGTTGTGGTCTTTTAGGAAGTCAAACCAACAGATGGAAGCTCTCCCCTTCTTTCTCCCTCTTTCTCTGTAACTCTGACTTTCAAATAGGTAAATAAATCTTTTGGAAAAAAAAAAAGTAGGGCTTAAAATAGTGCTGTTACTATGGAAAACCACAGAGAGTCTTCAAAAATTAACAGTAAAAAAGAAAATTGCAAATAGAATTATCATATATTCTAGCAATTGCACTTCTGGGTGAAAATCAGAAGAATCAAAAGCAAGGTCTCCAAAGATACTTGTACACTCTGTTCATAATGGCATTATTCAAGATACAACGCTGCCCAAATATCCACAGATGGACGGGTGGATAAACAAAATACGGCACATATATACAGCAGATCTTCATCCTTAAAAGGAAATTCTGACACCTGCTACCGCACAGCTGGACCTTGTAACATCACATTAAGTAAACATTGAAGGATAAATTCTTGTATGACCCCATTCCATGCACTAGTAGCAGCAAGATTACAGGGCTGGGAGCTGGGGAGAATTGGGAGTTGTTTACTGGATGCAGGGTCTGCCAGATGTGAAAGTTCTAGAGATCTAACGCTTGCAACACTGTGAACACACTTGCCGCTGAGCCACACAGTGGCTAAGGTGGGAGCATGTATGTTATGTGCTTGTCATCGCAATATAAAGCAGAGAACTAGAGGCTTTTCTTTAGCCTCTGAAGCCCCAGGGCTGCCTCTGAGTGGCTGGAATTTGGAAGGCAGTGTGTGCCCCTGCTATGTCCGAAAGACCTTGCAAACCATCCACAGCCACACACAGGGCATGTGGCACTGGCAGGAGGCAGACAACCTTTCCACACTGTGCCCCTCAGGGTCAAGGATGGGTCAGGGATGACAATGCAGAATAGGATATGTTGCATCCAGCCAAATCAACCCAAACCTAGCTGCGGTCGCATCCCCAAGCCAGGGACATAGGAGACTGTGGCAAGACAGTCACTGAAGGAATAACTATGCAGTCAGCTTGGGCCAGTGGTCACTGTCTGCACCTTTGGTCTTCACTTTCAGGACGACACAGGATGCCCCCTTAATAGTGTCAAATCCAATGCCATGCAGTTCCATGCCATGCTCAACATCCAAGCTCTCCTACATACTGCATGCCCACAGCAGGCATCTCATCATTTACTGCACCTGTGTCACCAAATCCAGAGAACAGCCTCAGGATCCTCTACCCACGTAAACTGCCAACCAGAGCAGCTAGGAGATGCTGGACTTTAAATACCCATGCATGAGGTGAGAAGAAACAGGCAGTGATCTTGCTCAGCCCCCACTACAGGCCCCAGGGACCTGAGCATCAGCTCCAGCCTGAAGTTGAGTTGGAGATCTTGCCTTCCCACTCAGAATCTTCCTGGGACCCCTAACAGGTTCACAGAAAGTTCATCCCCAGCTCCAGATTCCACATTTAGAGCCTTGGCCTCACCCCAGTGGTGCCTGCCAGGAATTCCTCTCCCCAGCCTGTCACATCTCCAGAGGCTCCTGTTTCCTTCCAGAACAAAGGCTGACAGGAGATCTAGGCTTTTCTGCCAATCACCACAGCAAACACAGACATCAGATCCCCTCCCTGAGCCAGGCCATGGGGTCTTGGGTATAGGTCAGGGCAGCCCAGGGCAGATACAGGCCCCTCCGAGAGAAACCCTGAAGCACAGTGCCCTTCAGCAGCTCACCAAGTGACCTCATTGCCCCCAAGGATGCGCTGCCCCCCCACCTCCAGGGCTTGGGGCCAGCAGGCTCTTCAGTCTCCTGCTCTGTGTCTGCTGAGCACCATTCTGAGGCTGCACCTGAGGGTCAGGGCAGCGGGAGCAGCTCCACCTCCAGATCTTCCAACATCATCTCCCCCCAAATCCCTGGATCGATTGGCTGGCACCCATCTCCCACCTCTGAGCATTGCATCTTCCTCTCCCAGCTGTGTCACTGATGGTTTAATCAAAGCAGGAAGGCTGGTGCAGTAGTAAAGGGATAGATTCCGGATCCAGTAACAGCCCGGATCCCAGCTCCGGGTCCCCAGCTGTGTGGTAGCTGCAGGAATTTTGAGCCTGTGCCTTGTCATCAGTAGAATAAGCATGAACATCGTGCTCACCCACGAACTGCTCAGCCAATGCCAGGCATATGGGAAGCGCTCTGAGAGTGCAATTTTCCAGCAGTTGTTGCTGCTGCTCAGAGCGCTCCCCACTGGAATCACCAGCTAACACCTCAGATTCACCCCAGAGCAACTGAATCAGAACTACTCATCATCAAGTTCTGATAATCCCTCAAGTAATCCCATTGGACAGCAGAGGGTCCAGGCAGGGTCCATACCTCCTCTCTTCTGTTGAGGCCAGCTAGCACTGCACACTCAACACCAACAGCTGGCTCATTGGTCATGTATATTGGTAGAAGCTAGCTCCTGAATTTACCCAGTATGGAAAAGAAGCCTTACCTTGGAGACGTTTCTCCACCACTGTGAGTTGCCTTGGCCATGGCTGGCAATCCTGAAGGGCCTGGGGGTTGTGGGCTGGCAGTCAGCTTCCTGCTGTCCTCTGTGGGTTGTGGCTCAGGTTTGCTGGATGATGCACTTTGCCCAGCACTTGGGGCAGCTTCCTGGCTGGTGAGGCCTTCACTGATCCTGTTGGGTGCCACAGCCAATTCCAGCTCAGTTCTGGGGTCCTCACTGGATGTCTCAGGATCTTGGGCTTCCAAAGCTGTGGGCAGCTGCAGGTGATCCAGGGACTCATGCCCTGGGTCAGGAGCTCCATCTCCCTGTCCTAGTGAGGCCCCTGCCCGGGTAAGGAAGTCAGCTCCTGTCCCTGAAGCATTGATGGGAGTCAGCCTCTCCACCGCCCCCTCTGGCAGGTCAGCCTTCTGGCTCTCTATAGGAAAATAAGCAGGATAAAAAGGCACTCCAATTTGGAGTTGACCACAAAGACCCTACAAAGCATATGCACAAGGTCATTCAGTGTACCATGTTCACAACAACCAAAGACTGAGGAAACCCCACAGGACCTCCCAGCCCTGGCTCCACCCCGAGGGAATGTGCAGGTTAGAGCAAGGCGCATCTACACAGTGGAGTGTTGCACAGCCACTGGGAATTGTGAAAGGGAGAAATTAGTATTTCGATACATAGCTATGGAGTGACATTAAGGTGAACTGTGCACGGTACTATGGTTTGGACGTGGCTTGTTTCTTGAGGGTCCATGTGTTGGAAGCACAGTCCCAGTGTGATGGCATTGGGAATCAGCATGAACCTTTAAGAAAATGGGGTCAGTGGGAGCTCCTTGGGTCAGGAGGGATTAAGGCATTTCTTTGAAACCCCTTCAAAATTCTCACCAGAGGGTTGTTACAAAATCCTGAGCCTGTCCCCACACAGTCTGTCTCTTGTCTTGTATTTCCTATGTGCTCTCACCATTGTCACCCACCATGTGTTGCAGCCAAGAGGGCCACACCATAGCTGTTCAGTGCAGGCGCTGAAGTCCCCAAAACTGAGAGCTAAATTCAACTCTTTTCCAGGTAAAGTTAACCTGTTTCAGGTAGTAACCAGATACAAACTAGCACAATATGATGCTTATCTAAGAAGGGAGAAAGGGTAGGAACTCAAGCTTGTGATCTCAATAGACTAGACATCAAAAAGAGGTGGGGGGAAAGACAAAAACATCCTAAATGGTTACATGGGGGCAGGGGGAATTGGGGCTAGGGACAAGGACAGAAGCTAGACTTCACGTAATGTACATCTTATTTCTAAAATTTGACTTTGGAATCTGCGTAAAATTAAGCGAAAGAATAAAAAAATTTAACCACAAGACAGCAATCTATAAAATTATAAAGCAAAATGAACTAAATCAGCCTGCACATCAAGTTGATGACATAGCCCACAGAGAAAGGAGCTATTCCAAGCAATTTCAAACATAGCACCTGACTTCACATCTCTGCAGGGATATATATAAAAGGCAAACAACGCCCCCCCCCCAAAAAAAAAGGGTAAAGAAGAGAAAGCAGCTTCCATAGTTTTCCAGGGATTAGACTGGAAATGGTACGGCTGGTGTGTTTTGTTGTGTGCAAATCAGAGATGGTGAACGGGGCCTCACTCACCTTCCCAGGGCCCCCTGATGTCAGCCTGCACGCCTCTGGTGCTCAGCACATGCTTGGGTTTTGCTCCCTTCTCTTCCGCTCGCTCTTTGCTCTAAAATAACAACCATGAAACTGTCATTAACACCATCTCCAGGACCCCGTTAAGCCGTACTTAGGATCTGGCGTGGTCTAGTGGTAAATATCAAAAAGTGGATCCTGCCACTATCATTGTAGAGATAAGGACACAAAAGCCTTCCCAAGGTCACAAACTTATTTCTAAAGATTTATTTATGTATTTATTTGAAAAGAACAATGGCAGAGACAGAGAAAGGAAGGGGCGGGGGAGGGGGAGAAAGAGAGAGAGACTGATTTAACCACTGATTTGCTTCCAAAAGTGGTAAGTAGCCAGAGTTGAGCCAAGCCAAAGTTAGGAGCCAGGAACTACTCTTGCAGCCTAAGTACTCGGACGTCTTCTGTTGCTTTCCCAGGTGTGTGAGCAGGGAGCTGGATTGGAAACAGAGCAACCAGGATTTGAACCAGTAGTCTAATAGGGGAAGGCAGCATCCCAAGAGGCAGTTTAACCAGCTGCACAATGATAGCCAAGGTGGTAAAACTTAACAGGGGCAAGACAGACCCTGCTCCTGACCGGGGATTCTAAACCAACTGAACTCAGAGGAGTTAAACCAAACTTAATGCAAAATGTCAGTGCAGATCAGTTGGTCATGATTACTGGAGTGTGCAGGGTTCAGAAGAGAGATTCAGCCATAAATGGGGCAGTTGACATAATCGATTAGTAATGTCTGCCCAGGGCTGCATGAGTGGCTCTCACAACAGTTAAAATTGTGGACTCTCGGGCCAGCCTTGCTGACCCTTACCATCTCTGCATCACCTTTGCCCCATCTGTAAAGTGTGGCAATGATTTATTATGTGCCTTGCAGTTAGTGGGAGGTCAGGGGGAGTTTATCTGTGGGATGCCCAGAACACAGCAGGTGCTCAACAATTGTAACAATCTTGTCTCATCTGAGATGGGGATCAAACCAGCCCATTGCCCACACTGGTGCTTGGGCCTGGCCCACAGGAGCTCAGCAGCTGATCTTTACAACTGAATGGGTTTGCTCCTGCTCCGTGCCAGCTTGCACACGCTTTTACTCTTGCAACAGCACGCCTCGCATGCCCAGCACTGCCCAGCTGTGAGCCTTCAAGCAACTATTTCTACATGGCCTGACTTCTTACTGGGTCCCTAGATGCTTTTGGGGGCTTTGAGTGTAAGATAGCCTCTTGGCCTGTGTCACTTTGGCCAGAGCTTGGGCTGACCGCCAGGCGTGAGGCATTCACCCATTAAGGGCCTCTGTGTCTCCTGCCTTGGCCACAGAGCCCTTAGTTTAGAGTCAAGAGGCTAAAGACAACTTAGGGAACATTTTATTCAGTTTGCACAGCCTTTTAAAATGTTTAGTTGGCTTTCAACATATAAAGCATAGTGGATTTTTACATCACAATCCAAGATCCCTGTATGGTGACACAATTGTTCTCTATTTTTATTGTACTGCCCACTTAAAATGTGCTTGGTGTGTGTATGTATGCAGTTAATTGTATATAAATTATGCATCAAAAAAGAATGGTTATTATACTTACATAAAATTTACAAAAAATATGTAGATTCCCAGCTTCTTTTGGAACATTATAAAAGCAAGGGATGAGGCAGTAGGGAGATGGGGGGAAACTAAAGCCCTGGCAACTCTAGGCCCAAGGGTCAGAAGCCATTCTCTCCATCGGGGGCTTCACCTCTCCAGAACATTCCCTGACCCCACAATAGAGGGCTGACCTCACTGCTTCTCCTCCTCTTTGCCCACTTAGCTCAAGCCCATTACCTGCTCACCCCTTTGGGAGTCCAGGGTATCAAACTCTGCCTTCTTTTTTTTTGTTTTAAAGATTTATTTATTTTATTTGTAAGGAAGATTAGATTTATGGAGAGAAGGAGAGACAGAAAGACCTAGCTTCCATCTGCTGACTCACTCCCCAGATGGCCAGAATGGCCAGAGCTGAGCCGATCCAAAGGCAGGAGCCAGGAATGTCTTCCGGGTCTCCCAAGAAGGTGCAGGGTCCCAAGGCTTTGGGCATCCTCTACTGCTTTCCCGGGCCACAAACAGAGAGATGTATGTGAAGTGAAGCATCTGTGACAGGAACCAGTGTCCATATGGGATCCCGGCACTTACAAGGTGAGGATTTAACCACTGAGCCATCGCACCAGGCCCCAAACTTTGCCATCTTAATGGTAGCATAGCACTCGAGAAGACACACCCCAATGCCTGGCTGTAGCAGGCACTTAATAAAAAAATGCCAGCTGCTCTGATGGGTTCACGAGTGCCGTCAGTGTGGCTCGAATCCTTGCTCAGCAGATGGCTGTCCCTTATCCTCCCTGCAGCTCCGTCCTCATAGCTGGGGCACTGGAGGCATTATCACAGCCCTCCTCCTGTTTCACCCCACCGGTAGAAAGGGACTTGGACACGCTGTCCTTTGGCAGACCTTGCTGGGCTCAAGCTGTTCTTGCTTCCCATTTATTTATTTATTTTTAAATAGGGAGGCACGCAGGCATGCATCATCCCCTGCCCCCACCCCCCCACATCCCACCCAGTCCCGCACAGCCAGGTTGTAGCTTCAGGGTTGAATCTTCAGGGATCTGCCTTGTCAAAGTACGCAGAAAAGTAACAGAGACGCCAAGACCCATTCTAGAAGATTGACACATCCCAACAGTTTGAATGTGATTCACGCCTCAGCTAAGCCGGAATGTACCTTTCATGGCAGAACGCCTGGCTCCTCCGAGTACTCTGATTCACAGGTTACCACCAAAGGAGGCGCCACGGAGCACTTGAGAAAACCCAAATGGCACCCCCACCCCCCGAAAGTCTGACACAATCTGCAGCTGAAATAGCCAGTGCTAGGATTTCATGCAATCCCCCAGCGGGACTGCTATGCCCTTTAGCCTCTCCGGAGACACAAGCCATTCAGCACTGACAGCGTGTTAAAGAGCCGTAGCTGCATCCCTTCTCTGAGCACCTCCTGTGGGACTTGCCCTGGCCAACAGGCCGCAGACACATTGATGCAGACATTGATATGCACATTAACCACAAGGGCCAAACAGATCCATCAAGGGCCAGTGAAGCACACGGGCAAGAATTATTGCAAGAACTCAGAAAAGCCAAAGTTCATGACCTGACCTGGCCATCCAGAAATGCCTTAAATAAATATCTGAAACACGTGACAGTTTATTTCATTAACATAAGAGCAATCCTCACTCATCAACATGAAAACAAAGTAAAATAAACAGAAAGAGAACCAGCTATGAGCAGACAGACAATACAGAAGGTTTAATCCTTTGAGCAATATTTGATCTTCTAGTAAAAAGAAACAGGAATTAAAATCACAGGATGCATCATTCTATTGTCTATTGTGTTTAAAATTGTTCATGAGAAAGTTAAAAAAATATTGTAAAAATTCCAAAGGCAAGTTAGCTTTACGAGACATGGAACCAATTGCTTCATTTGGCTCTGACTCAAATAAACAAATTGTAAACCGTTGAAAAAGTATGAGATAATCCAGAAAATTTGAACACTGACTTAGGTAGACAAAGAATGAATTGTTCCCTTCTTAGATATACTGATTTCATGATTATGTTTTCCAAAAAAAAAAAAAGTCCTTTTTATGTTTTAGCTATGAATACTGAACATTTTTGAAAGAAATGAGCCAATGCCTCGGGCTAGGAGGAGGGAGGAGATGAGATGATTTCGGCCTTGAGTTGATGGGTAAAGCTGGGAAGCAGGCTCATGGGTCCCTTACACACTCGCCCCTCCTGATTCAGGGGTTTGGTATCCAAGGACTCAAGCAACTGCACATGGAAAACATTCAGAAGAAAATTGCATCTGGACTGAACATGCACAGGCTTTCTTTTTTTGGTAATGGTATAACAACTCCCTGCATAGCATTTACTTTGTAGTAGGAATTATAAATAATCTAGGGATGACTTAAGGTACCCGGGAAGATGTGCAGACATGTAAGGGACTTGAATGTCTGCAGAACCAAGGGACAACTGTATTCACCACTATTTATAACTTATAATTAATAAATATGTTTTAATAATTAGATTTTATAAATGGTCAACATTTTCATACTTAAGTTTTTCATTCATCAGACAGAAGAATCAAAACACTGAGTAGCATGACTTGTTAATGGAGCCATCAAGAATCCCATTCAGGACTGGAAGGACACTAAGCCAAAATGACTTCACTGAGAGTGGTTTCACTTTATCTGCACAGACTTATCCCTTGACTTGGTGTTTTTATGGCTAGAAGTGTGTCGTAGAGATGGACTCACTTGGGGTCAGTGTTGTGGCACAGTAGTTTAAACTGCCACCTGCAATGCTGGCATCCCATGAGCACCGGTTCGGGTACCAGCTGCTCCACCTCTGATGCAGCTCCCTGCTAATGCATCTGGGAAAGTACCGGAAGTGATGGTCCTGAGGCTGGCATTGTGATGTGGAGGTAATGCCACTGCCTGTGACACCAGCATCCCACACTTGCAACTGCTGGAGTTTCAGCTGCTCTACTTCTAATCCAGTTCCCTTGGATTAATGGCCTGAGAAAAGCAAAGATGGCCCAAGGGCTTGGTCCTTCAGGAGGACTTGGATGAAGCTCTGGGCTTCTGGGTTCAGCCTGGCCCAGCCCCAGCCATTGCAGCCAACTAGGGAGTGAACCAGTGGATGGAAGATCTCTATCTTTCTCCCTCCGCCGCCCCAACCAACTCTGCTTTTCGAATACATGGATAAACTTTTAAAAAGAAAAACCTCGCATATTCTCAAAGACAAATAAGGGTTTAGTCCATGGAGAGTATGTGCTTTGAAAAACTATGCTTGGATTTGAAAGTTTTTTTGCACCAAAGTAAATATTTTTTAGTTCTGTTTTTCCACGAAGTTTCTGAAGTTCTTGTAGGTATCAGTGGATATTCACTGCATCGCTATTTATAGTAGTTTAAAGAAATGAGAGACATCGTAAGCAGGGATGCAGACTTGTTAACAAATTAAAATATATCCCCTGCCCTAAAATGGAGTACTCCACAATTTTAAGAAACAGGGACAAGGAGGGTACACATTTAAAAACAAATTTAGAAACATCAAGGTGAGAACAATGTGAGGACAGGAATGGAAGCCGAACAGAACCAACAGGGTGGAGTGCAATCCCCTATGCTTATAGATGCTCCATTTTCACCCAAAAGGAGTTAGAGCAAACAGGTGCCTCTGACTGCTTGGACAGGGACAGTGTTTCAGAGCCCAGGGTGGGATAGGAGGGAGCTGCCTGCCCTTTATATTAGGTGATTTTTTTTTAAAAGATTTATTTATTTTTATTACAAAGTCAGATATACAGAAACGAGGAGAGACAGAGAGGAAGCTCTTTCATCTGATGATTCACTCCCCAAGTGAGCACAACAGCCAGTGCTGCGCCAATCTGAAACCAGGAGCCAGGAACTTCTTCCAAGTCTCCCACATGGGCACAGGATCCCAAAGCACTGGGCCGTCCTCAACTGCTTTCCCAGGCCACAAGCAGGGAGCTGGGTGGGAAGTGGAGCTTCCGGGATTAGAACCAGTGCCCATATGGGATCCTGGTGTGTTCAAGGCAAGGACTTTAGCCGCTAGGCCACAGTGCCGGACCCTAGGTAATTTTTTTTTAACCAAGTGCATACTACAGTTTTCTCTTTAAAGCTGTTAATCAGACTAAATTGATTGGATTGCTTTGGCTGATCATACTGATGGCCTTTTTAAAGCTGAGGTTGTTTTCCAGAGACAAGAGTGCAAGGGGCCACATCTTGGCTGCAGGCCAAGGTGCCAAGCGGATAACAGAGGCTGTGATGGGGCTTAGGGCAGAGAGGGGGAGGGGAGAGCAGGGCATAGTCTAGAAGATGGGAAGGAAGGGGCGCTGTCAGCCACTGACTGACAGAGTCAAGCTCAGACTCCTTTAGAGTCCAACTCACCCCCTGCCCAAGCTGGCGCGTAACTGCCAGGCTCTGAAACAGTGGCTCCAGGTCGTCTGAGTGTTGCTAAGTGGCTGGTCCTTGGCTGTTCCCAAACAGGATGTTCCTTCTATCTCCCAGCCACTCCACCCCCATCCCCATCCAACCCCCAGAGCCCAAGCTTCCATTAGCCAGCTGATTCGATTATGCAACCTGAGGGAACAGCCGATCCCTGAAATGCCAGCCTCCACCCCCAGGTTTGGCTCCTGCCTTTGTCCCCTGTGTTTCGCTGTCAACACATCTCCCTAAGGGAGAGCTGTACAGACCATCTACTCTGGGGAAAAGCACAAGGTTGGGGATAAGAAAGGGGCTAGGTTTCTAAGTAATAGCTCCACCGAGGCAAACACCCCAACTTCCATCCTAGGTAGCAAGGATCCCACAGCAGCTCCCAGAGGAAGAGAAATCCCAGGATGTCAAAGAACCTCAACAGCCCCTTCCCTAACCACACCTGCCTGGAGCAGCTCCAGACTGCCTCAGTTTTAGGGTACCACCTCTCCCTTTCCCTGGGAGGATGGGCAGTCTGGAACACACACACACACACACACACACACACACACACCACCCCACACATCTGTAAGTTCCCATCTCCCCGCATCAACAGGTCACACAAGAGACACAGCAGGCAACTATGCCTCTCCTGCTCTAAGTCCCTCCGCCTGGCAGGCACTCCCCCTTGGCCTCCCTTCCAGCCAGTGCAGGGAAGCAGGAACCAACCTCCTCAGAGCCATCAGCCAGACTGCTTCTCCTCCATGGCACCCTGCCTTGTGTGATGAAATCCACCACCTTTGAGTTCTGGAACGTGGCTTCCACCAAAGCAATGGCCCTGTCCACAGCCACTACCATCCTGAAGAGGGCTTCGAGCCTAGCGCCATGCTGGGTGGCCTCCTGCCGCACGGCCCTCACCAGCTCCAGGACCTCATGCCACCCAGCCTGAGTGTCCGCTGGAGGGGCACTGTCAGCACCCACCGGGGCCAGCACCTGGGAGGCCTCCAGCCGGTGCAGGCCTTGCTCCAGGTAGCCCATGCCTTGGCACACGCACTGCAGCTTCTCTGTGACGTCTTCTTGGAAATGCAAGAGTTTGTCCACCTTCTCATTCAGCATGCTAAGCTTTTTGTCCATGGTGGTTAAACAGGTCTTGCCCAACACTGGCAGTCCCCGGGGCCCTGGGCCCTCTTGGGAGGCTCCTGACATCCTGATGCAGGCTGGACCAGGGTAAACAGGAGGAAATGAAGGAGCCACCAGCCTCTGGCTTTCACAAAGGCAGTAGTGACTGGAAGTTCATTGTCCTGGGCAGCTGACAGCCTGTCCCCACAACACCAACCTTCATGGACCTCAGGGCTTGTTTGGGGAGCCCGTGGGACTGGGTCCTCCCTGTGCCTTCGCTTATCTCCCACTCCTCCACGGCCATGAGTGACAGCCCAAGTTTGGTGCAGTCCCTACCCACTTGGGGCCCCTTTGACATCATGGCAGCATTTGACATTCCTCTCTGAGAGGCTGCTGATGGGCAAATATTTTAAGAATCTGCCCAGGGCAGGCAGTAGCTCATGGAGCTGGGACAAAGGTCATTTAGGTAACAAGAACTTGTATATGTGCTGTCAAAAAGAGACGACAATGAGAACTTGTTAACTGAACTTTACCAGGGGTACTTAGAGACCCCAGGGCAACAGTAATGCCTTTGGAGCTCTAAAGCCCTGAGCAGATGCCCCATACACATTTTTTAAAAGTTTTTTTTGTAAAGATTTATTTATTTTTATTGCAAAGTCAGATATACAGAGAGGAGAGACAGAGAGGAAGATCTTCTGTGCAATGATTCACTCCCCAAGGGGCCGCAACGGCCAGTGCTGTGCCAATCCAGAGCCAGGAATCAGGAACTTCCTGGAGCGGCTGCAGGGTCCCCAAGACTTTGGGCCGTCCTCGACTGCTTTCCCAGGCCAAAAGCAGGGAGCTGGATGAGAAGTGGGGCCGCCGGGATTAGAACCAGTGGCCATATGAGATCCCGGAGCGTTCCAGGCAAGAACTTTAGCCACTAGTCCTCTGCGCCGGGCCCCCCATACACATTTGATCCACAATAAAAAAAAACAAGATTGAAACCAAAATAAAGGAGAGAGCATTCAACAGAGTTCTGATGAAAATGTTGATGCTTCTGTAAATTATAAACATCTGTTTGTGCCCCTGCTGGGCTGATGCCCAAAACGAAATACTTGTGGGTGAGACCAACCCTTAGTCACCAGTCCAGGTAACTACTACTAGACTAGGTACCAGCCAAGCATCACCCACATGCAATGTTTCTTGCAGAGCCCCCTGGGAGACATTGCCCAGAGACCCCTTGCCACCCTGAAAATGACCACACAGGTACCTAGCACCTGATGTCTATACTGAAACAGACTCAGTAGGGCCCTAGAGAGCCACAGGGCCCAGATTTGGTGTGCTTTCCAAACATTTTAACCTCAGAAATTCTTGACTTGAAGGCAACTAGTCTCAGACTCATCAATAAATGAAGCAAACACAAGAGATGCTCAGGCTGTCACTGAAGCGGGGTACCAGAGAGTAGCACAGAATCCCTAAAATTCCACGGGACAGTGCGACTGAAAACATTCTTATCCAGGGCTTGTTTTTATCTTGATGTCTAAGGTCAAACAGACACACTGTCTCCGAACACGGGTCAGTCCGTCACGATCAGTCAGGCACCATGGATACCAAACTCTGGTGTCCTGCCTTTGATTCTGAATCAAAGTATTTATAACCATGGACCTAGAAATGTGACTTCTCCGAGCACCTTGAGATGGGTTTGCTATTAACAGCATCAGTGCAGTGTGCTTAATCTGGGAGCAAACTTGAACACAAACTCCCTCCTGACCGCTCTCACAGAATAACTGCACTTGGGGACTTGAAGGTGGCTCTGAGGCAGTACCTTGGTCATGTTTCCACACCATGAACTGCCTTGCAAACTTGTTGCTTATGGGAGTTATGAAGCATTTGCAGAGAGCCAGATTGGAAGCAAGAGTAGCCAGGCTGACCTCTTCATCCTGCATCCCAAAGCTCTTGGATGGAACAGTCCCAGGGCTCAATGGGTGACAGGAATGGCAACAGCTACACTTAAAATACATCAAGACTCTTCTGACTCTAGCTGAAACACTGGCCTCCATATTTATGTCCTTCCCCTTCAGAGACTTGATTACACAAGCCCTTACCTACTGAGCATGGAAGAGGAGCTACTGCTGAGCGAGGGCTAACGGTGGGTTCTGAAAGTTGTGCAGGGGAAGGAGTTGGAAAAGCAAGGCAGAAAAAACCTCAGCCTCACTGGGAATACAGGCAAAGGTAAACGAGAGGAAAGGCTGTTGTTTTCCTCTGGGACTCAGAGAAGCAGCCTGTGAGACCCCCAGGAGAATAAACAGGGGCAGGACAAGACCCAAAAAGTGGCTCTCCTCTTTTCCCACATCTCTGCACAGATGGCTCTGACCACCAGGGAGCAGAGCCTGCTTCTGGGGAAACACAGTGGTCCACAACATGATACTTCCATGGACCAGCAGTTCTAGAGGTGGTTTAGGGGGTGCTAAGCAACTGACAAGCCTCACACAGTTGCCATTTTTAATGCCTTGTAAAATACATGCACAGGAGAAACAGAATGTCTGGGTATTCAAAAAAAAATCTCCTCAAAGTGAAAACAAAGACATAATCCTGGAGGAGACAGGGAAAATGCTACAGAAGAAAGACTCCCAAAGGCTATCATTTGAACCTGGCATTATGGTATAGTGCTTAAAATCTGTGCCAGTATCTCATATGGATGCCAGTTCAAGTTCTAGCTGCTCCACTTCTGATCCAGCTCCCTGCTCATGTGTCTGGGAAAGCATCTGTGTATAGCCCAAGTGTTTGGGCCCCTGTACCCATGTGGGAGACACAAAAGGAAGCTTGTGGCTCCTGGTTTCAGACCAGCCCAGCTCCAGCTGTTGCTGCCATTTGGGATGAACCAGTAATGGAAGACCCCCCTCTCTCTCTCAGTCTCTCTGAAACTCTGCCTTTCAAATGAAAGAAATCTTTTTTTTTTTTAATGTTATCATGTTTAGCCACAGAAAAGTGTGAGAAGCTATTCTGATTTCAAAGGAGAGACACAGGGGTGTGAGTAATGAGCCACAGTGATGTAAACCACTGCTTAAGATGCTCACATCCCCTATCAGAGTGCAGTTCCAGGCCTGACTGTGCTCCGCTTCTGGTCCAGCTTCCTGCTAATGCTCATGGGAGATAGACCATACGGCCAAAAGCACTGGGGTTCCTGCACCCCAGAGGGAGACTCAACTGCAGTTCCTAGCTTCTGGCTTTGGCCTTACTCAGTCACAGCTCTTGAGTGATTTGGAGAGTGAATCAGCAAATAAAATCAATATCTCTCTTTTCCTCTTCCTATTGGCATTCCATCTTTCAGGTAAACAAATAACTTTAAAAATAAAATAGGGGCTTGTACCATGGTGTAGTAGGCTAAGCCATCACTTTTGATGCTCACATGCCATATGGGCATCAGGTGAGTCCCAGCAGCTCCATTTCTGTTCCAGCTCCCTGCTTCTGGCCTGGGAAAGCAGTGGAGGATGGTTTCCGTCCTTGGGCCTTTGCACCCATGTGGGAGACCCAAAGGAAGCTCCTGGTTCCTGGCCTTGAATCTACTCAGCTTTACATTGCAGCCATTTGGGAAGTGAACCAACAGATGGAAAACTCTATCTCATGTACTCTCTGTCTCTCCTTTTCTCTGCAACTCTGCTTTTCAAATAAAAATAAAATAAGTCTTCAGTAAAATAAGGCGGGTTGGGTTTTGGTTTAGTGATTAACAAGCCACTCGAGATGCCCACATGCCATTTCAGACTGCCTGGATTTTAGTCCCAACTCCATTTCTGCTCCTGACTTCAGCTTGCTATTGATTCACATTCTGGAATCAGCAGGTGATGGCTCAACTGCTTGGGTCCCTGCCACCCATGTGGGATGTCTGGATTGAATCCCTAGTTCCCAGTTCTCTGACCCACAGACACAGCTCCAGCTGGATCTCATTTGGAGGGTGAACCAGTGAACAAAAGCTCCATTTCTCTTACTCTCTCAATTTCTCTAGCCACTCTTTCAAATAAACAAACTTTAATAAAATTTTTTATTCAATAGCATGTTAGTTAAAATGTACATTTTAAAAACTTTATTCCTGTTGTTGATTTTGTTTTATGGCTTTTAGTATAAGGGAACATATAGTATCTGTGTAATAGAGACTATCATATGCAAATATTAAGATACAATGCAGTATGCATCTCTATTTCCAAATCAAAGATGGATTCCCAATGAAACTTTTGAATATATCTTGACAATAGGATGCTGGAATGTCTGCCATTGTCTGTACCCGCAATGTTAGGATACACTTAAATAGCAGAGTGATGGATTTATGATTGTTTATGACGGACTATGTTATTATAATTGGGGGAAATCAGTGAGAGGAGGGAAGTTGGAGAAAGGGGTAAGGGAAATCCCAGAGCCAATGGAATTGTATCATAAAATTAAAAATAAAATAAAAGAAGAAAAAATAAATTCAACAGGAAGACATGTATGTAAATGTAGGAGACATACACATGAATTCAACAGGAAGACATGTATGTAAGTTTAGGAGACATAAACATAAGGTAGGAAAGAAAAGATGTTAGATAATGGATCTAGCTGACCTATCTAATGGAGTTTCAAGAAGACAAAGTGAAAGAAATAAAGGAATTTATAAAAAATATCGCAGTCATTATACAAACTTAGCACATTAGGACAAAAAGGTTAGAAAGATTCTCTTGAAATTAAAAAGAAAAGATCACATGTAAAACAATTGAAATTTCACATCCTAAAAACAATTGGATTTTAGAAGGCTCACTGGGTGTAAAAGTCTAGATTGGAAAGCATTTTCTGTTAGAATTCTGAAGACATTGCACAACTGTCGGAGGACAGAATGAAGATTATCAGGCCCAGTGAGGTAGCCTAGTGGCTAAAGCCTAACCTTGCAACCACCGGGATGCCATATGGGCACCAGTTTGTTTCCTGGCTCCCCACTTCCCATCCAGTTCTCTGTGGCCTGAGAAAGTAGTCGAGGATGGGCCAAAGCCTGGACCCTGCACCTGATCCGGAAGAGGCTCCTGGCTCATGGCTCCAATCAGCTCAGCTTCAGCTGTTTCTGCTGCTTGAGGAGTGAA